AAGATATCGTCAGCACCCAAGCAAGTCCAGTCTTGCTCTCGAGCGTCTTCAACTTCTGCCATAAGTACTTTTGCGCCTTCTGATGGTGGTCATCGTCAAACGGCCTCTGCTGGAGGCTCAAGTGAGAGGATGGAGAGGATCAGTGTCGTTGGTTTGGGTGAGCGACGCGCCCAAAGATCCGGCCATCGTTGCAAACCGCCTCTCCTACTTCAGCCTCCTATCCTCAGGCACGTACATCAAGATCCACCCGAAACAGCGAACTGATACGGAGACTGTTGGCGAGCGAAGCTCCGTGGCTGCATCATGGTGTTAAAGTAAACATCGACAAGCCACACCGATAGTGGGTGTCAAACGATACCACTTGGACAATGTTGTGTATATAAATGCACTACTATTGTGTATATAAATGGGACCTTCGTCCTCTTGACTTGAGTAGTGATTAAGGCTAATTGGCTCTCTATAATCTTTATCACTTGACAGTGGGGTCCTCTGTGATATTGTGTTCGATGGATTTTATCACCTTTGTCAGACACTCCAAAACGTACAGAGCCCAAGGTGGGTTGGCTTTCGTGCTTTGGATGGATTTATTCTGAGCAGCAGAAACCAGCATGACCCAACGCCTGTCACATGTGAGAGGGCGGGCTTGTCAATAGTTTGGAATAAACTCCTCGCCGTCTCTACGCTTTGTCAAAACCGGGGACGCTGTTAATCTTTGGTCTCCAACGCCTGTTCCACATTGGCCCGCTTCAGGGCCCGTGTTGTGTTATTCTTACTGGTATCTCGAAAAATAGTACGGGGCCCGCAGTTCTCCGCAGGCCAGGAGTGGAAACATGGTGTGATGGCTGCGCGTTGAACTCGCACCGCACCCGCCATTTTTCACCCCCCCCCGCACCCGCCATGTCCACGGAGCCGATGGCACCAAGAGTAAGCATTTTGTTGTCTGGTGCAGCAGCTACTTTTGTTCCGGCCAGAGGGCCAGAGAGACATTTTACAGATAGACGCAGCCATCTGAGTTAACAAACTATGTATAACCCACTCACTAGCCGACTTATGCGTTCTTGGCATGCTGCTCCTTCCGTAGTTTATAAAACCCCTTGATAAATATTAGGCTTGTGGCGAGAAATGCAAAACTACCGCGGGACTCCAATTCCAATTGTACGAGAAATTTGGAAGTATGTACAGCATCTAGACTGAACGGTCGTGGTGTAGGACAATCGACTGCGGCCCCTCTGCACATTTTCCTATTCTGTAATGCCCTTAATAAGCTATTGTGGTGTAGGACAATAGACTGCGGCCCCTCTGCACATCTTTCTATTCTGCAATGCCCTTAACAAATCACATGATAGATTCATACCTATTTACATCGGGGAGCAAATATGAGTGATATCGATGGGCTCTGTTGGGATCTGGGACGTGGCAACAACCCTCTTGGCACCTGCTCAGGTCCGCCACCCAGGATGGCCAATAAAAGGGATATGGTGTCTTGATTCTCGGTACGCTACCGCTGTTTCTACGCCAATATGAAATATTTACACAGCATTAATACTTATTAGGAGTCTTTGGATTTTTTTAATTGGTTGCCATACATAACCCATGCTCAGCTCCTCGAGATGAAGTCCACGATCGTCATCACCATTCTGGCCGCCTGTGTTGCTACTTGGGAATACCCCAACTGTGAACATGACAACTTTTACCGTACCTTGATCAAGAAGGCTCTTCAGGATGAAGCCAATTCCGTTTGCTTCGATTGGCTTGCCAAGACTGTGACTGTGCCTCCTTCTATTCCCGCCGAGTTCAACAACTGTGATGCCGGGGCCGCCAGCTCTGCTTGTTCGTGCATCACCTACGCGGCTATTCACACGGCCGGTTCCGCCGCCACCACTACCATCCCTTGGATGTCTGCCTCTACCAGCACCATCAACAAAAATCCTCACACCAATCCTCCCACAGTGGTGATGACCACGACGAAACAGCTTCTTCATACCGCCACCGCCAACACTGAGCGGCCTCGCACTATATCTTCTATTGTTCATGTTCCTCCTATCATGGCCATTTCGACTGGGAGACTGCAAACGTCCCAAAGCACCTGTACCACTCTAACTACCCAGAACACTCACACTACCAAGCAAAGTACTTGCACGACCTACAGCATCAAGCCACGCACCGTTACTAACACCGAAAGATGCCGCACTGCAATTTCTACTAGTCCCACGTCTCCTGTCATCACCTTCACGACCAAGGGGCCGCCCACCACCAACACCACTCAGAACACGCAGGCTCACACCACCAAGCAAAGTACTTCCACAATCTACAGCATCAAGCCACACACCGTTACCAACGCCGAAAGATCCCGCACTGCATTGTCTACTAGTCAGACGTCTCCTGTCATCACCTTCTTCACCAAGGGGCCGCGCACCACCCAACACACCCACACCGCCCAGCCTCCCAACACCACTCAGATCACGCAGGCTATTCAGGATACTCGGGATACTCAGACCATTCAGACTACTCAGGCCGCTCACAACGCGAAGACTATCAATTGTGATGCTTCCACCACATACCGCATCGAGACACACGCCACTCAACCGCACGCAACCTCGTCTTGCTTTGGGCAATCCGGCTGCCCCGTTGGCAGCATCACCATCACTCCCTACCACCCAGGCGCTGCCACTGTGCGCCGCAAGGTCTCCGCTATTTCTGTCGGTTCGAATATTGTCGCGTTACGCGGTTGTAAATTTGTATATTCCTTGCTCTGTCTTTTTCCCTACACTGCAGCAACTCAAGGTCCTTAATACTTTTCGGAATACTGCTGCCAGTATGACGACTGCTTTTGCCACCCAGGCAGCAAAACGGTTGCGTGGCCAGACAACAGAGGCACCATTATTCGACATGCCACTGTGCGCCGCAAGGTCTCTGCCCTGTCTGTCGGTTCGAATATAGGTGTTGCCACTCCCGAGCCCTCTGATTCCCTAGTCGTTGCTGCAGCCGCTAGTCAGATTATTGCCAGCCTCGGCCTTGTCGCCGCTGCGGCAGTTGGAGCTCTCCTTTTGTGAGAAGAGGATTCTAGGACGATCCAACTGCGAATAGCCAGGCGCCTTACTGTCTTTATTTCTCTCTGCATGCCTGCCACAAATTCCAAACTGTGCCTGCCGCAAATTCCAAACTATAGGTTGGATCCATAATAAATGGTAGGATAGCGGACTGCTTTAGGTGAGTTGGATTCATAATAAATAGTAGGGTAGCGGGCTGCTTTAGCAAATGGAAAGAACGCCACCTAGCTGCTCATATGGGGTCGAAGACTAGATTATTTGCGTCAGTCTTATTGTTGTTTGCCACAGTAAGCTCGTGCTGTACGCAACCGCCAGCACCAACAGAGCAAACAGCCACGTGGCTCGAAACACTCGTGTATGTGACTCTACGATGACCAAAGCCACGTCTGAAACAGATCTCAACCCGTCTACTTGAAGTCTATTGCATTGTATGTGTTCACACGCATTGTGAGTGTGTGAGTGTGTGAGTGTGTGAATGTAGGGAACAATTGGCGCCATTAGATACGGACAGAGGATTGATCGAGTCCCCTTGAACACAAGCTTATCCAAAAACCTTGGACGTGCTCAAGCACCAGTGAGGATGACACAATGTTCTAGTACGTGGTCAAAATGCCGCTGCCCGTGGCTGCAGTCATGCTTAGCGGAAAATGCCATGGTTGTAAAATGCAAGAAGTTCTGTGTTCGAATCTTAGGTGTAACTATGCAGTTATTTGTGCATTTTTCGGGACACAGGACGTATTAGACTAGTGGCTAAATATGCTACGTGAAACTACATGGCATCAGCTCAAAGGCGCTCACAGTCTACTCTGTTACCCGTCAGCGGGGTGTGTAGGTGATGCTGTTTAAGTCTAGATGTAGTTTGGCATTTGGCTATGCAACGTAACCGGTATCATGTGACTGGCTGCATCGTCGTCTGACTATTTCCTGTGAAAGTGTCAGAAATACGGTGTGGTACTGTCATAAAAGGCGTCACTGTAAAATTGAATGGGTGTGTAGGCATTATGTAACCCCTTTCCTTGTTTAAATAGATTACTCACTGATCAATTTTTGTCACTCTTCGGGTTCGCATACTTATCTTCAACGAAAGTACATTTTCTCACTATTTATGGGCCGCGTGATCTCTTTTCGCCAAGTCGAATGACCGACCATGCGGCCAGTGCGAGGTATCTGTGTCGAATTGACAATTCTGGTAATTTTCGTTGTGGTGTACTCCGCATTGGCCGTCTGGGCTTTGCTGATAGCTCAAAATTTTCAGAGTCAAGACAACAATATTGACTTTGCCTTTGCCGTTGCTCTTGTTGCTTTCCTTTTGCTGAAGTTGTTTCTACTCACCTTCACTGTCTTCAAGTCCGTCGCTCGCCACGAGTTCGAAAAGTCGACAGTTAAAGAGATCGTACGACTGAAGAAGACAGCATTGCTCGATGGCTGTCTTCTTGTGATCGTTCTGGCCACTTGTATAACGCTTGTTAGCCGTTTGGCTATATGGCAAGAAACATTCCGCAATGCGCGTGATCGGACAAACTTTATATATTGTGTCTGGTGTCTGACCATTCTGTGTCTTGATACACTCTCGCAGCTCCTGGTTCTGCTCGCCCTGATGCTCCTGATATGCCATGGAGATTCAAGATTTGTACCATACATCCGTACATTGACACTTTTGACATAACGGTGGGGACAATTTTTGGCCGAGAAATTCAGTGATGTCGTCTCCTTACGTGCGCAGCCGTCTTGGTGGGCGCACCCACAATCAGTTGGATGTACCCGCCAATATTTCGGCACCGTCGAGATGCCGGAGTTGTGGTTCGACCTCTTGCGCTTATTGACCGGTACGTTGCGCGGTAGTTGCTGGGGTTGCTCTGTGGCTGAAGGTACAATGCAGAAAACGTTGCGGAAGAGACAGCCTGGCGTCTCAACAATTGATTTTGGATATTAAATATTTACATTAAATACATCGAACTATAATGTGTCTGATACTTGCATACGTGGAATAAAGGCCACAGGTCACCGTCATCTGGCCGACGCAACACTAGAAGATGCAAATGTACCCAGCGCAGATAATCAAGCTGAAAGGCATAGCATAGCTACCTATCATCCAGAACCCTTGAGGTTCCGAAATAGCTCCGCCGGTTTTGCAAGCAAGCCTTGGACCGCGGCTCGAGGTTCCCGTTTTCGTCGCCGTGAGACAGGCGCCGTCACAATCACAGACTTCGGCAATGTCGCTGACGACGGTATATCGACCATGGACCCAATTACTCCGGGAGGGCTCCGCGTCTCATGACGTATGACCTCTCTAAGGAGTTTTCCGCGGTCAAGCTTTCCATCAGGTCCAACCGGGATTTCTGCTAACGTGTGAAACTGCTTGGGGTCAATGTAGGCCGCCGCAGGCATTTGCCCCCTTTGCTGAAGAATCTTCAGATGCTCGTCCATGCTCTTGGAGCACCTCCACTCTTCTTGATTCACGTCTTCGATATGCTGTTGAACTCTGAAAAAGTGCATCTGTAAGCCGCATGCCAACACCGCTATCTGGGTCGTCCCTGCTGTGCATGACCAGGCTGATGTTAGTCTTTGGAGCTCCACTGCAGACAGCTCATGCCTAGACCTAGCGTAGTCGGCGCTGGGCACTGGCGGAAGTAATTCAATGCTGCCGTCTTCGTGGCATATGCCACAATCTTCGGTCCGGTACATGGTCGACCTATCCATTGTCAGCGGGTGTTTTTCCAGACCTGCAATGAGTTGGAATACCCATCATCCCTAAAAGGGTTGGTAACGTAGGAATGGCGGCCGTAGCTAATGTATTGGTCAGAGACACCTCGACCGCCGACCCATATTCGGCCGGGATATCCGATTGCCCGCTTTCGCCCGTTATCGTCGAGCACGTACAGAAATAAATTGGGAATAGGGTACCCAACAGAGCCCACCCCATCACGACCGCTGAGGACGGGACACCCCGATGAGAATAGCCCGAATCCACAGCGGCGGGAACCTAAACCATTGGTTATGTGGTGAAGCGACAAGGCACATACAATAGTAGTTTCCGAGAATCCGTAGCACTTCCAAACGGCCGGAACACAGGCAGCCCATTTATCGGCTAAATAATCCGAAATGGCCTCTCCGGCTGTTGCTAGCACTTTCAACTCGGGTAGTTGCTCCGGTTCGTACCTGGATAACAATGTGGGTGTGGTGATGAGCACTTCTATCTGTGGAGGGGGTCAGCAGGTGCCTCGGTTCAACGACGCCAACATGGATTCCTCTAACTTTCTTAAAAAATGTTTCTTGCTCACTGTCACCAATTACCAGCGTTCCTCCGTTGCAAAGACATCCAAATATCTCCCAGACAGCTGCTATCTGGTTAACATAAGACAGCGACCTTGGTCAGGAACTTGATATTGGAACTTACCAATGTCAGAGGATATGCTTAGAGTTTGTCCCACCTTCGCACCAGGGTAAACACCAAGATCTCCGGACCCTAGACAGACAAGGTTGACCATATTTCTGTGCTTGATGTGAACTTCTTTTGCTGCCACAGAACCGTCCCATGGAGCGCCTGGCTATAAATTAATATCAATAGGCTGAGAGCGGGACGCACAGACTCCCATACCGCAAGTGAAAACGGTGTAGCATACGTCGTCGGGGGTAGCTAGGTTATGCATTGCAGAGTCGCGATCCAAATCTCGGGTCTTAATCTCTGAATGAACTCTCACAATTCGAATCGGACTCATGTGAGTATCGCTGGGAAATACCCGCTCCAGGACAATGTCGGACCCCAAGGAAGTACTGAGGACAATTCTCTGACCCGACCACTCGACGACTCTCCTAAGATAGTCATCCGACTGGATCTCATAATCGACGGGGACAAATTGGGCACCGCAAGAGAGTATTGCCAAAATGCCGGTAACTGATTGTAGTCCCCGTTTTGCAACCAAAGGTATCCTTTGCCCCTTTTTGATGCGCTCTATATGCAAGCGATGCGAAAGCGCCTGAACTCGTTCGGCGAGATCTCGATATGTAAGTCCCTCTCCTCCGCTGTCGCCAGAGAGGTCACATACCGCAATCCCTGAGGACCAGAGGACCCTGGCCTGGGCATAAAATGCGGATGTCAGCGTGGTGAACTGTACAGACTCTGTCTCTAAGCCGGCGCTGACGGAGAAATGGCGCCCTTTTGAGCGCGGTGAAGTTGAAGTTGAAGCCAATTCAGATACGCGCGCGCCATATCCGGGACTTCTTGGGCGTGCTTGCATCGTAATCTTGTTGCTGAGAGCCCCTTAAAAGCGAGGCAAGACTCAACTGGCTGTTGTGGCGACAGACCAGATAGGTTACTTAACACACTTTGTGAAATTTACGACGATCTCGGCCATACTTGAATGCTTCTGCTGAATATATAGTCATGTAGCAATAAATGCTCTACAATCCTGTGCACCACGATGCCTGATGCTTGAACTGCCCCGTCACACACTAATTTTGAGCATGATGAGGCTTGTTTGTTGTATATGTATGTAAATACGAATCAAATGCTGTACTGTACAGACCGGCTTTGCCACACTAGCAAACGAATCCCATCCGTAGCTCATACGCTTGTATCAGCGTTGGTGTTATCTTAGTCCCACCATGAGATGTGGACATTATAACACGTCCCATCCTACAATTGTGGGTTAATATCCAAATGAGGGTACAGTATCGTACGTACCGTGACCAACTTCGAACTCACCCACACTACGGGAAGTGTTACTGCCCTTACGCTCGATCAGGTGGCCAAGGCTGGACAGTGGGTTTCCATTTTGCCGGCGACGTGACTATGGCTGTGGCCCAAAAGCGACGCTGGAAGGAAGAACAGAATGCTCTGGTTCGACGTCCCCTCGTTTCTTGTACACATTAACCGAATTAACCAGCCAGTAGGCGTCGGTATAGTCCGTCGGGTTGTTGGCCACATAAGCATGGCACGAGAGGCCAGAAGCCGAGCACCTTGGATTCGAGCTCCACACCAGCGGACTGCCAGCCCAATCGCTACAGAACGTTATATCGAAGACAATCTGGTTGTTGCTGAAGTGAGAGTCAATGTTGCAGCCGTCGCCGCCTTGAAATTTTGCAAGAGGATCACCCCAGGTCCGAGGTTCAGGAAGACGTGACGTTACGTCCATAGGGATATCATGTCGAGGGAAGAACCAGACCGAGATGCTCTCCGATGTCCACTCCATGGCATAGACTCCACCGTTGATGTTGTTGAACCCGTCCCCGTATGTTTGACAGTCGGTTGGCTGCATACCGCACCCAGCACCGGCAATGCTGCAATCTTTACGCAGCGCTGAAAAGTAACTTCCGCTGCCAGACAGGGTCACTGAACAACCGGGAGACGTATGGAGAGTGACTATATTCGTCTCTTGGTAGTTGACGCCTTCTATAATGTCGATCTCTCCGGAGCTGGGCCAGTCAGGTCCAAACATCCAGAACGCTGGCCACACTCCGCAAGCTCCAGAGGGCATGTGGGAAATATCCGCGACTATCAGACCTCGATTGAAGGCTTTGGGAGATGTGACGCGAACGGATTTACGACCACTGAAAGGACCGTAACTGCCGCGATCCACGCCCATGAAGACAGCGCCGTTCTAATACTTCGCAAGGCCAGACTGGACGGCGGTTGCAAGGTCAACATATTGTACGTGACCATGGGTTGGATCACTGTCAGAGAACAAGTCGAAGGCGGAGAAGAAGTTGGAAGCATCGTACGTTGTGTCAAGTTGATAACCTCTGCCCTGCTCCGTTCAAGAGCTAGCCCGCAGACGACTATTCGAGCCAGAGCGTGAGAGAGCCTCAGTTTTGATGTGAGACGTGAATCTCGAAACTGAGTCCTGGCGACATGTTATATCCTGGCGGCTAAAAGTAGATAGCGATGTCTTTACATTACAGTACAGAGGGTATGAAAAGCAACAGTCCCAAACGAGCTCTAAGCCTGGTCGTCTTTTTTGGGCTGGTTCCATAGTTTCCGCATGCGCTATTCTTTTTATGGATCGTCTTTGTACTGTAGTTAATTCTGGAGTTTCAAACACATAAATTCTCCCCTTCTCGCACTGCTGGTACCGCCACACTAAGCAATGGCGAAATCACCATGGTCTACAAGGGGGTCACGGTCCGTTGCGACCGTGGCAGCCTACTCCGTGTTAGTGTCCAACACTCATGCACAGGATACCATCTTTAGTGGACATGGTTTCGCTACGTATTATTACGACATCGAAAACGTGAAAGCTTGTGGCACGGATTTCGTGAACCAGAATCAGGGCTATGTCGCATGCAGCCCTGGCACGGCGCGGTCACTGAACCAAATCGGCACTAATTATCTCGTAGCCATGAACAACACTGAGTTGCAAAAGAACCGGAAAAAGTACTGTGGCAAGAGAGTTATAGTAACAGTGAATGGCGAAAAGTCAACTCTTCCATTTTTCATCGGCGATGGTTGCGAGCGCTGTGGCGGCGGACCACTTACTGGGCCGTGGAATCCAGTCGGGGCTCCTGGGCTGGACTTCAGCTATTCAGCATTGAGTGAACTGTCAACACAAGCGTGTTCCGCGGGACATATAGAACTGAGTTGGGAGATTGCGGATGAGGCACTGTTCCAATTCAATACTGACTATTAGGGTATGCCGGAGAGGAGCCGCGCGGGAATGACATGTATTTTGTGACTACCTAGTCCACCAGTTAGTTTATAATGCACTGCATCCCCCCAAACGTTTGTCTGGGCCATTGTGTCAACATTAACACATCATATGTATGTATATATGTATTTTCCGTCCAGTGGCCTGACATTAACACATCAGCCAACCCTTGGGATTGCTGTAGGGTGTGTGGCATCTACATTACAGGAACGTGGCCGCCTTGGTTACTTGGCCCTCTCCTTGACTGCTTCGGTCATTATACACCCAACAACCCACCGGGCGCCCCCGTTATCAATAAATCGCCTGACGGTTTGGATCGGCGGCCTTGACACGGGAGGAAACCGGTCATGCTAAGAAACCGGTCATGCTAAGATTATGGGGTCGCTCGGCGACGGAATTCATGCTTTGCAGTAGTAGAAAAGTTGTATCGTAGTACCACGCTACGTAACATGAGGCAGAACTTGATATTTGGTCTTGTGGACCGGTTGTAACGCACAGAGAAGCCGGTCCCCATCCCACCCAAAACGAAGACCAGCATTAATCTGACGAGTGGTTCTAGACCCAGCTCTGTGTTACAATCTTTCCATCAAAATTAGCGGCGCGACCGCTTTCTCACTAGCCACGCGTTAACTCAACCATAGCCCGCCTGATATGATGTGTAGAACATGTCACCTCAGCGGGTGTCGCTGGTGTCATTGACAAGTAAAGGCCTTCCCTGTCAATCTCACAAGGCTTGGAGCAGGGCAACTCTACTACAACCCCGCTACTGGGCCAGAAGAAGATTTGTGATTTCTCGGCATGAAGTACTCCCAAATTGTAACCGTGTCAAATATTTCACAGCCGAATCACCTATCATTATTGTACTGTATTTAGGACCACCAATGTATGCACACATGTACCGTAACCGGCATCTTGGGAACACATGCGTAAACCTAATATGGAACCTGTTGCACGATCCACGTCTCCTGACTAAATTTTTTTAGTTCTCCTCTTTTGCATTCTACATTCTTAGAAACTCTGATACTTGGACGTACGTATCCGGAAGAATGGCTCTCCCAATGAATCATTGGATGTTGAACATCATCTTTGGGATCGTTTGTGCCTACGACATTACCCATGTAGCAGCATCCAATGCCGAAGTCTACACGGCCAACGCGGTTGAAGCGATAAAAACGTTGAACGATTGGTACAGCGTCAGCACCGGGCTATGGGAGAACGCGTGGTGGAATAGTGCGAATGCACTCACCACTATCGCTGACTTTGCATCTCTCCGCCTCGATGAAGCCAACAAGCTTAACATCGGCGGCTTTATACGAAACACATTTGCTCAAGCACAAAAGACCAATGTACTGCGCAGCAGTTTCCCTCCTGTCAGTGATGTGGTCTCAAATATTCGCAACTTGACTCTTGGGTCCGGCTGCACGCCTGAGGGCAATCGTCTCGGCAAACGCGGATTTGGCCAGTTTCTTAACGATTATTATGACGATGAAGGATGGTGGGCTCTGGGCTTGATCAGATCCTACGATGTATCCGGCGAAGAGAAATATCTTGCCGCGGCCGTCAACATATTCAAGGACATGCAGACTGGCGGGGAAACACCATGCCGCGGTGGTATTTTTTGGAGCAAGGACCGACACTATGTCAATGCCATTGCTAATGAGCTGTATCTCTCGGTCGCCGCGTCTCTTGCTCGTCGAGTTCCCGAAAACAATACATACAGGCCACTCGCCATTGCCCAGTGGAGATGGTTCGAAAAGAGCGGCCTGATTAATGCCAAGGGACTGATCAACGACGGTCTCAATGGCAACTGCATGAACAATGGGCTGCAGACTTGGAGCTACAATCAGGGTGTCGTCCTAGGTGGCCTTACCGAGCTCTTCTTGCTAACACTGGACACACAGTATTTGGAAAGGGCCACAGAAATCGCCAAAGTGGCGATCAAGGCTCTTTCTGACAAGAATGGCATCCTCACGGAGACGGACAAGTGCGAGACAGAGGTCGGACGCTGCAGGCCCACCAGCCAGCAGTTCAAGGGCGTATTCGTCCGCAACTTGGGTTATCTCTACCGTGCTACTCCTCTCCAGGAGTTCAGGGATTTTATTTTCCGTAATGCTGACTCGATCTGGACTCGTGATCGAAATGACAAGAACCAGCTCGGCGTTGCTTGGGCTGGAGACTACACCGACGCGACCGCATCCACGCAGAGCAGTGCGTTGGACGTCCTAATAGCCGCCATTGCCGTTGCATAGTCGCCCGTGTGGCATAAACCACCAAGTGGACTACCTGCCAGGGCACGTAATGCCTGCACAGAGAATGTAGCACCAATCCTTGTGCCCACAGCATTTACATGGGACATCTGCCTTATAACATTGGGACGCAGAGATATTCAGGCGCCAGAGAAAAGACCAAAGAAAATTGAGAATGAAACGAGGCCGGCCAGATTTGGAACGGGTAGCCAGATTGCCAAGCAAGAAATGGTGCACAGAACAGTCGTGGTCGTGATAGCCAGATAGTGGCCTAGACGATCGGCAGACAATGCATTGGGAATGTTCGTGGCCTCGGGTTGTTCTGGGCGATTGAGTTTGTCGAGGACAAGAATTCCAAGCAACCGTTGAATCTGTTTCTTTCGGAGAGGGCTTACGACATGACTAAGGTGACTGAAAAATGCAAAACTCTTTCTAGATAGCAAGCGAGTAATACATACTCCTAAAAGCTGAGCGGAAACAACTTGTCGTCTAGAGGAGGCTTAGGCATCATGTTTGGCGTCATTGAAGTATGTTTCACCCATTTTCGCGATGATTACGGTATTGGGTAGTTAAATATCAGATAGATGTTTGAGATCTCCATTGAGACGATTATTCGCAATTGTACCGTATGACTTCCATACTCTTGATTTCATGTAGTGACTCTTGAGTCAACGATTCTCAAATACTCAGTCAAAGAATCATGAAGTGTGATCCAGCAGATCTATTTCAGACACTTGCGGACCTTCCGGCGAAGTGGCAACAAATCACAACCCACTCATTGCCACGACGAATTCATAATTTCAGTGCCTGAACTTCTGTCCATTCCCTCTCTTTCTTTGGCAGGGTCACGGTAAGGATTCCCCTCTCAAGGCTCTTGGTGATTTTTTTTGTCGCCGTCGACTTCGTCAGTATATAGCACCGTGAGAAGTGAAATGACTCGCTTGAAGTCCCCAGTCCCACCCTCGGCATAAATCTAACAGTTGCCAAGCTCTTCGCTGCTGGGGAGCCGGCTCACGCCCTTGACACTAAGGGTATGACTCTTCGGGCACCACTCCACACTAACATCATCCACTTTCGCACCAGGAATAGTGACGTGCACAACAACCTCGCGGCTGTCAGTGAAACGTTGACAGCTGGTATGAATGACTTGGCTTCACGGCAGGCCAACTTGCCGAGCCTGTCGTAGTACTGCTGCCATTGATTTTGTTGCTTCATGTGTTCCCCTAGATGTTGGAAGCTTTTTATACCCCCCCAAAGTTCATGCTGAGAGGCCGTTCCGTAGGCATCGGATGATTTTCAACGGGGATGGGGGGGAACGAAGATACTTCGTATCCGCCAAAGTTTCCAAATGAAAAGGGCGGTAGTGGGTGAACAAGCTGGTCAAGTGGTATTTGGGGACAGGCACAGCAATCAATGTCACCGATAGGGCCGTCGGCGCCGTCAACAAAGTCCCCGAAGACTGGTCGTGGAGGCATTACCGGATCTTGTTTCTCAGGAGACATGGCGAGACCAATACACAACTTAGAATTGAGTGAAAACAAATGATTGACGAGAACTAAATTTGCAGATACGACTTTTTGGGCGACGAAGTCGGCTTAAATACTTCAACGAAGTCGTCTTCGGTCGCACAATGGGCCATGTTGCACGTGCATCACACATGAAGATATTGCGGCTTCCAAATCCTACATAAGTTCGGTGCCCTATTATCGAAATTTCCCGACCTCAAACAATCTGACGGCCGCCAAAATCTCAAACGGTGATACGGAGTGGCCCGGACGGGAAGGCAGACCTCGACGCGGAGGATCTACTGAGGGGTCTTGCCAGAATTCATGCAGGGTGATAAATCTCCGGTCAATTTTGTTCCTGGCAACCTGGCTGTACTGACTAGCTCATCACCGGTACCACGTTGTAGAGACGGAGCCAACAGCATTTACATACTGTGCTGCGGAAACCCAGACGACTAGAGCAATTCTGACAGCTCGTTCTGCGCCAACCACCCTCACGTCAATCACAAGGTCAATGGCCCGCTTTATACCTTATTCAATACGCGACCACTAACAACTGTCCTAAGCTAACCACAATCACCGCAAGAACCCGCAGAACGCATGAAACCCCGCCCGATTATTGTTACACTTGTGGCCAGAGGACCTTGTGAAGAGGATCGGTGGTGGGTTTGTTATAAAAAAGGCCATTCCATACGTAGTGTGAAGCGAGCCCCGTTGTTGATGCATACACTACTACTGTCCCGTGCTTCTGGACAATACCCGGATCCGACCTCTCTGTGTGATACGCACAAATTTTGCAACAGTTACAGTAATCACGAGGTAAATAAATATCAATATCATAGATTATTCAATCAACAAACACTCACAACGATGACGAGACCCTGTCGCTTTCGGAGCGAACGTCGGTGACCCCATCGATTAACATGTCAACACTCGCCACTTTTTCAAGCTCCGTAGTATTTTTCTACCCAAGTGCGGAAATCGTCTTTGCAAGCAGTGGTTCTCACGCCGGCCCAGATGGCGGTCCGTTTCAGAGGTCAGTGAATCGCCGTGAATGCTTCGTAATGCCTGCTTCAAAGGATTTCAGGATCTCATACGACCGCTGTTAACTGACCACTTATCCACGGACGGCTTTGTCAATGTCATGGTCTCTAATGCCCTTTGGATGCTGCGAGCAGACGAAGCACACCTGGTTTAGACGTGATCATGACGCTTCTAGGGGAACTGCAAGAGAAAGCACGCCGCGAGAGGGAGGCGCGTCAAAAGCGTGCGATAAACAGTCTAGAACATGCTCAGGCGACGGTGGAAATGGAAAAGGAGATGGAAATAAAACCCGGAGGTGGAATGTCACAGACCGAATGTCCCATCTGCCATAAGCCTTTCGTACGAGACGAGAAGATCGTAAACTTCGAGGGCCAATGCGAGTGCAATGCCAGGAGAAGCGTTGGATGCATCGGGCGTGTTGTGGACTGGTTCAAAGTGCCCTTCTACTTTGGGATACCTCAACGAACCGCAATTCTTGGCTCAGGTGAGGATGCTGTAACAAGAAAAAAGTTATTTTGCAGTAACCATTGAGTACCAGTAAGAAATTGAACATTCTTCTAATATAATTTATAGTTATAAGCAGTGCGACGCGCCGCTCTGTATAGACGGAGGCTGTTGGGGATAGTGGCATACGTTGTACCGCCAAGTAGAAAATTAACTATCTGGCGATCTGTTTGGCCAGGATCCCTGCGGCGCTAAAACGTAACACTTTCGCAGTCAAGGGGATAGTTGAGTGAGAAAAAGCTACTGTTGGGAGACCTTGTTACATCCAGTACGCCTGGAGCGGCAATATACACGGTAATGATCAGATGAGATATGCAGAACAGGCGAGGGACATTCTTATGCCTGTCGGTCAAACCGTTGCCCTGAAGGAGCATAACCAGTTTGTATAGTGGAACAGAGGCAGAATTCACCACGGCGTCGAGTACCTCGTGTTAAATCGTCCCTGTTAAACGAGAGGCGATAGTCCAACATGTCTCTACTTTCCGAGGCTTGCCTCTACCGGACACTTAGATGACATGCCAGGGAAAACGTATGGCGAAAACCTTCGGTACGCGCCGTTTCGTAGCCGGGGGAAAAAGTCCGTTCTTTCAAACTAATATTTCCAATTGCAGGCCGAGCATGGGACCGATGTTACTTTTGTCAAGTAACATCTGGAAGAGCCAAAAGTCAAACGTGGCGCTTGTGTTGGTAAGTCATCGGGTTTTCGAACGGTGAACAATGGAGCGTTGCATGGATAGAATCGTTGGCCATCTAACTCAGTGTAAGCGGGCTGGAAATGCATCAGTGGCTGACTGGTATTCTCTGCCAGGTGAGAGTTCGAATAGGCAAAATGAAAGTGGCTCTGCTATCGTTGACCTGCAGGTCGCGAGGTAGGTCGTCTGAACGATGTAACAAGGAAACCCGTATAGACATGGTCTAGGAATATGTCAGGGCTCAGGACGAGGTGGGAGGCTGGGAGGCTGGGAGGCGGAGCAATTGAAGAATCGCCAAGCGGCGAGGACGAACGGCCAGCTCGATTATGCAGGAGGTGTCAAGTAAATTACGCTGCAGAATAAGAACAGTGTATGCAACCTGTCATCATGATTGCTACACGTATTCCTCCAACTTTGGCGACAGCCACAAATAAATCATCGGTGTGATTTTGCCAGGGGATAGGTTCAAACGAAAAGTCTTTGCGTCCCAAATCTCAACTTAGCACTTCACCAAGATGTCAAGTGCTGTACTTATAAGTAGTTTTCTGGCAGTGAAGAATCGAGCTTCGCGAACAAGACCGACCCGTTTCGGACGGCGAGCGTGCTTGAAAGACTTTGACAAGATCCTAGAATGAAAACAAATTCAACGTCCCAGCACCGCCTTGTGCTGGAAGATACCGCTGCGTGTTGAGCGCTATCGCTAATCGACTGGGCGATGGCCGAAAGACACTTTGGCAGCTGAGTGCTCTTCGGCAGGCAACGTGGGCTGGTGTGCGCCAGCAAAACATCTCGCTCGCCTCGGTGTCCATCACATTTGAAGACTATCCCAGATTTCGCCGGGTTGCCTGGGTCGCCGAGACATGGTTTCGTACGTTTTGCATATTCCATTGTGTGCCACGGTCGTATATGCTGTGCCTGTTGGGGGGGGCCCAACAAGGCCTCGACCAACTCATGACGCGGTTAACTCAGAACAAAGACTCCGCAAATTGTTATAAGCTTCTAACTTGAAAAGGATCAGAGGCCGAGAGCATCCTGCAGCGCGTTATGTAACATGACTTATCATTTAACTGGTGTGGTAGAGCAGCGTTTGACAAAAATGCTCAGCCAGGAGGGCTCTCGGTCGTAAATTCTGTCGTAAAGTCTCCATAAACAAGGCGTTACGGGACGGCTGATAAAAGCGGTTGTGCAGACTGAATGTCTGGTGCGTAGATTCGTCGACCTGTATTTATGTTCTTTGGGGTTGGTGTCATATTGTATTCATTCATTTGTTACGCCCGGTGGAACAATCCAAAAAGGGCAACTATAAACCTATGGTACGTGTACTGTTACGCAGTGTGGCTAACAATCAATCAAGTTCAATTTCGGCGCTCAAACTCGGTTGCTTGAACCTACCTCTGGCTCGATTGACAACTCGTCAAGTACTTGATATACTACCCTCTACTCAGCCAGTCAAAACGCCAGTCAACACTTCGGAGTTCATAAAAGTTGACGATGCGCTCGCCATGCCGTATCTCATGTCGGTGGCTCAGGAGACGCTTAGACTGCATCCCGCAGTAGGTTCCATGCTACCAAGGCAGACGCCGAAGGGGGGATGTGGTTGGCCGGTCGCTATTTCCCAGAAGGGGTACGTTCACGGCCTTGTGACACGCGGTCATGGTAACAGGAAACTAACGCTGGCGGTAGACCGTGGTCGGTGTAAATGCTTTGGCTGTGCATTATAACGAAGCAATACACGGTCCTGACTCGACGGAATTCCGTCCGGAGAGATGGATGAGCCGAGACAAAAGCCCTCCGGCTCCTCTTTCGGTGGGTCTTTGTTAATAGCAGGAAATTGCGGCATAATTGCGAAGCTAACAGACCTCTCTTAGTTCGGTGCTGGTGCACGGCGGTGCATAGGAGAACACCTGGCACTGATCATGATTGGCAAAGGCATTGCCGAGATTGTTCGAAATTTCGATCTCGAGCTCGATGCGTCCCAGAAAGAATGCAAAGTAGAGAGCGCATGGTTTGTGTGGTTGAACTATTCATGTCGCGTTCGAGCGAGAGATAAGTGGTTTTGCGCGAGGACCGGCGTTACCACAGCCACTGATAAGGATGCTATCGAGTCATGAGGTAAGGGACCATCGACAGCCTCTGTGTTGCTAAGGCTCAGCGTGTTAAATACTGAGTCAACTTGGATTATACTGTCGGATAGACTGTAGCACGGTGCAATAAGGTGGATACATTCGCGTTTGGGTGCATGTCGAACTTCACTCAAGAACGATAACGAGGCCGAAATTAAGCAACCGCATAACTTTGGTATGCAAAAGGCATAATACAATACAAGGCTTTATTAGTGTCGTGGTTTAAGTATATAAGATAGATAAGGAGATCCACTTGCAGACCAGGAATAGATTAGTGGCGGTGTGGGCATGTACCTTCAAGTCCCGCTTGGAAGACGGGACTTCAAGGTACAGGCACACCCGCGCACGGATGAGTAATCACCAGACGGTGATACACCCAATGCTATGGCTGCCCAACGTCAGGATTACCGGTTCCATCCTCTCGATGATGCTGAACGTGTGCCCCAACGAAGAAAACATGCCTCATTCACGAATTTCGGAACTTTTCGCAATTCATCCGATAGCAGACGTTATATTTTCGTACCTGACGGTCACCGATGTGTACAAACTCCATGCAGTATGCCGGTCGTTGCAAGGTGTTGTGCATTGTCTCCAAGATACACGGCTCAATATTAGTGCTGCACTTAGTGACTTTGTTAAGAGCTGTGATTCCTTCCGCTGGAACTTGGGCAAGACCAATAGCCTCATTGTCGGTGGGTTTGTCCTCGATTTCCTTGCCTTGCGTCAGCAAGTCATACCCTTCCTAGACATCGTTGTTGAGGAGGGAGCGCCTGCACTCGGCCTCATACAATATTTGTGCGATGAGGAGACTTATGAGATGGCGGGAACTCAAGAAGTAAGCGTTGTACCAAATGAATCTGACTCCTGCTTACGCGTCTTGCAAGCCCGGAAAAGCAGTTATACTCACCCGTTCAGAGTCGAAGACAAAAATTCGCGTAACCAAAACTGACACGATACCAATACACGCTCTTTTGCAATCTTCCTACACGACCGCTGATCTTAATTTTATGTCATGGAATAAAGTCTACTCGAATTTTCCTCTAGCAACTGTAATTCAGCACAAATTCTGGCCATTACGAAAGCTGAACGATGACTTCGGTGTGAAGCTAGCTGAGCTTGCTCAACAAGGCTGGACTACACGCGATCTAGTATGGGCGGACTGGGCCATTCCTCCTGGGCTAGGTGTTCGAAGAGTCGGCGACAATATCAGTCCCCGAAGAGTTGGCGACGAAATGAGTCTTGTAATGCCCCTGCGGCCAGCTCTTGCACACAATGGACTAAAGCCCGATCATGTTTTAGAGCTTTCTGAATTTAGTGTAGATAGCCCTGCCCGGCCCGGGGGTTTTGGAACTCGCCATCGCGAACTTTCTGTTACAGTGAAGGAGCTTCAGTCGCCTAGTCTTCGTTACCGATATACGACAGGGCAAGGGAGTCAGTGGCGTACGTTTGTCAGTGAAAGGCTGAAGCGTTGGACCGAGATTGAGGCATGCAAAATGGATCCTGACAGTCGCCCTCCACATTGGCTCCCTCCACCTCCCGATTTTGAGGTACCGCCAACGTGGGACTTCGCAGACGATCAAATGCCACTTTGGTATAAAACTTACTGGTTGGAGAATAGTCAAAGACGGCTAGCTTCCTGAGCATTACGTATTATGAAAGATTTCTAATATGGTTTAAAACCAACCTGCAGAAGGACTTGACTTTCATTCTATAACTTCAGGGAGCCTTAAATGCAGGTTTTAGCACTGTTGGTATGGCAAACTCCTCGAGTCGAAAGACAAAATAAAAACTTTTCTTTTGTGCGTTGTACTATAAGTTGGGTGTTTTGCTCTAATAAATGCCAAGGGAACGGCAGGTAGAGCTTGTTCGCCGCACTCGCAAGTGATCCCATTCGTCCACAGGGGCTGTACTAGCATGACTTTCGTTGGCAGAAAGATACTTAGGAGTACATGATGCGTTTAACGCTAATGTATTTTGGGACTAACAGTGGGTCTCACTATTTATGTTCTGTACCGAAACTGCGACACTAATTAAGCCTTCTACCAGGGACCATACTGTGCTGCTTTACGACGAACGACCATGGAAAGAACGCAACGCGCTAGCCCAGCTGAGAACAGGCATGTCCGCGTTAAAGAATTATTTGTATCAAATCAAGCAATCGGCGTCAGATCAGTGTGATTGTGGCGCAGAGAGGGAAACGGTGGCACACTTCTTGTTTAGATGCAACAAATGGACGATGCACAGAAAAGAAATGCTCCAATCTACGGAGACACATCGAGGCAACACTTCATTCTATCTAGGAGGCAAGTCACCAATGGATGGAGCGAAGTGGAAACCAAATATGGCGGCCGTGCGGGCAACAATCCGTTTTGTCAAGGCCACGGGCCGCCTTGACAACTAACAACTGCATCCCCATCCCCCAAAACCAAATTTCTCACCTCCCATCTAACACC